GTAAGAACCGAGAGAACCTTGATGATCCCAGAAACTGGGTTTATAGCCAGGACTGCTACACTAGTGTCCTCCCCTCCTGTCACCACAATCTCCCAATATGATTTACTGCTTCCTGTTTGTGCTTGAGAGTCAATTCCAGTCTCTTCTATCCTTCCCAGCCTGCATACACACCAGATCCCCCTGCCATGTATGCCCTTTCTCAAGCTCCATCCTCCAGTTCTCCCTGCCTCCCCAGCACAGCCGAGCATCTCCCCTGGGGGATGCGAAGTCAGGACGGCGCCCTGCTTGATGAAGACCAAAGCTCCCTGTCCGGGCCAAACCCCTGTGTGCGACGGCCAGAGACTCCAGGAGCGATGCCCGCCGCCACAGGCCACTGTCATCAGCCTCTCCTGTCTCACAGGGTCCCACACCACGAAGTGGACAGCGTGGAAGCCGGCAATGACGAATCTGGCCTCCCTCGGCTCCTCTCCGATCACATTTTCCAGTTCCTGTCCATTATCGATTTCAGACTCGAAAATGAAAACTTTCTCCAGCCACTCCATGCCCCGGCAGGCCCGTTGGACTCTGAGCACTTCCAGCCGAAACTCGCCGTCTTCATGCCGAGTCCTGAAGATCCTCACACATCCATCCTTCCCGGTGCTGTAAAGCAACCCCTGGTATTCACACACCGAGGTCACGCCGTGTTTCCCGTGCACGCCGAACAGACAACTCAGAGGCTGACGTGTAGAATCACGCTCTTCTTCCTCTTTCCTCTGTGAGCCTTCACCGAGTTTCTCGTCATCAGTTTGGTTCAGCTCAACGTTTTCCCCTTCCTGAAACAACAGCAGTGACCCTCTCCTGTCTCCACACACCCACAACATCTCGTTGGAGTGAAGCCGGACGGCGGCTGTGAGCCAGCGCTTGGAGCAGAGAGGGAGGAGAAAAGGTGGAAGAGGTTCCACACTTATGACTAATGAGCAGTTTTCAGTCATTTTTACCTCCACACACCAGCGAAAGACAAATCCTTCGGCACCTGATGCGAGTAAATACAGCCTATCCGTTTCCTTTTTCCAGATGATACTATGGATCTTTCCTGGTCTGCCTGTAAGACGAACACCAGATAGAGGACTGGAAGTGGGAAACACCTGGATGGAGCCGCTGATGTTCCCAACTGCACACAATGTAACCATGGTAGCTGGATTTCTCACTAACACAGTCACTGTTTCCATCACACAATATGATGAAAACTCAGCTGGGCCTTCCCATATCGTCTCCCAGCTCCCACTGCTGTACTGGCAAACCGTCCCTTTATCAGTACAAACCAAAAACCGACTCCAGTACGTTTTTTCTTCCTCTCCTCCTACTTGACAAACCACTTTGGGAAGAGCAGGGCCAGGAAACTTCAGGTCTGTTAGTTTCTCTTCCAGGCTCTCTTTCTCCTCGTTATCTCCTACTTTCCACAGCCTAACCCCTCCATCTGCTCCTCCTGTTGCCACCCATCTCTCACCATCTTCTGTTCCCCCACTGACTGCTAGGGAACGCACCCCCCCCGCGCGGTGTCCTTTCAGCGTGCGAATCATCTTCCCCCCTCCTAACAAGTCCCAGACTAAACAGGCGCCGTCCTCCCCTGCGCTGAATGCGTACCTGGCTGAGAGACGGACCGAGAACACTCTGGCCTGGTGGCCGTACAGGACCCTTAAACACGTCGGGTTAGGGTCTCCACATTTCCCTCCAGGGCCGCCCAAGGCACCGACACCCCAAACCCGAACACTGCGGTCATCTGAAGCTGATGCGAGGTATCCGTTCTCCTGGAGGTAAGAGATGCTGAAGATGACCCCGGTGTGACCCAACAGTCGGCACTCAACTGGAGCCTTGTGACCAGACTTGATCATTTCATCACCTCGACCAGGCTTCCAGATGAGGATCTGGTTGAAAACAGTCCCACCAACCAAGACGGTATCCGCCCAAGAGTCATGCACCAGAAGAAGGGCAGAGTACAGCAGACAGCCCTCCAGGCAGGAGCACTGAACCAGGGCGCTTTCTGTGGTAGGGTCCAGGAGAAGAGCACTGTTATGAGCAACGGCAACACAGAGCAGGGACTGCTTGTCTGAGGAGAGCCAGCGGACATCTAGGGCCCAGTCCCTGAGCTCCAACAGGGGCCCCAGGGCCTCCAAGCGAAGAGTCTCCACATCCTTGCACTCTAAATGAAGCCTGACGATCCTCACTGCCTTTCCTCCAAATACGGCGAGGTCGTAGAAGCTGCTTGTAGAGGCAGAGTTCTTCTCTAGAGTTCAGAAATAGACAAACAGATCAAGCAGCTGTGAGCTGGAAGGGAGTTAACTCTTGTCACAAGCAATGAACAAACATATTACAAATAACCCCTCCCACAGATAAAGATTAGAGATGCACCATCATCAGCCAGAATTTTCTTAATCGGCAAGTAAAACTTTTTTAAAATAAAAAAATAAATAAAATCAGACAGGACAGATGCTTCAATGGTTAAAGAGGGAGAATCTGTCACACTTATATCTTTGCTTTTTATTCCTTAGAGGAAAAAAAAAATCTAACAAAAAAAACAATAAGTACTGGAAACTGGAAAGATTCCTGTATCTCTAATAAAGATAGCATCACTTTCGTCATTTTTTTTTCAACAAGTGCAAAAAAACTGATTTGTTTTAGGCTCAAAACAATATTTTAAGCTCCCAAAATTTGTAAATGTTGTAAGTGCAACTTTTACACATAACATTTAAGTGCAACATTCCTCATTAGATTCAGAGGAAATTTGTTAGCGGCAAACCAATTTCCTGCTGTGTGAAAATTAATGCATAGCACCTGAGACGGCGGAGCTCTGTGTTGGCACCGTGTCCCGGCTCCTCGCTCTGATCCCGTGGATTCTGTAATGTTGCAGGACGCTCAGCGAGGCACCAACATTCGGGTGGGGCAGGAGACTATACACCGACAAGACTGGTCCTTCACCTGCCATGAAGAACAATGAGAAAATAGGCATAGGAGTGTGCATGAGTCCATTAAAAAAATTACAATTACACATATATGTATGTTATCTTTATTACCTTGAGTTTTTGCAAATAATTTCCTTTTTGCAAAAAAATTTTTAGTTAAAATGCTAGTCATCAAAATCAATACTGACATTATTAAATCATTATATTAAGTTTTGCTGCAATCTCTTTGCTCATCAGCTTTTGATTACCTGATCCACTTTATGTGGTAGTAAAAGAAGAACGCTGCCAACTGATGATATATGGTTTCCAAAATCATAAGTGAAACTCTAAAAAGAAATTGAGCCATGCATTTATATTCAACCCTGATGAGTCAATACTTAAACCACCTTTTTGCAACAGTTATAGCGGCAGGTCTTTTTGCGGTTTGCCTCTACCAACTGTGCACACACAGAAACAGAATATTTGACAAATATTCTTTGAAAAGAAGAATATTTGTCAAGCTCAACCAGTTTGGACAGAAAGCATGCAGGTATGAAGAGCAATTTCGAGTCTTGTCACTTGTTCTCATTTTGGTCTGGACTTTGACTGGGCCATTCTTTTGTAGTTATAACTGTATGTTTAGTGTTGTCCCATTAGAAGGTGAACATTCAATCCAGTGTCAAGTCTTTCTTGCAGGACTGGCCTGTATTTAGCTTTATCCATCTGCCTGTCGACTCGGACCAACATCCCTATCCCCGCTGAAGAAAAGCATCACCACAGCATGCGGCTACTACCATTGTTCACCGTGAGGATAGTGTGCTCAGAGTGATGAGCAGTGTTTATATGTACTTATTTAATCGTACCCACAACCATGTATCATTAATTGAAGTCTGTGTTTCTGACGTGACTTACCTGTCAGCAGAAACCGATCTTGAAACAACTCCAAACCTGTGATGGGAGCCACCAGGGCAGCAGTCTCCATCTTTACAAGTTCAGTTTCTGTCAGAAAAACATCCTGAATGCTGCTTGAAAGACACAACAATACCACTTAGATTTTGTATTTTTGACGACAAAGTGGGTTTGGTGAACGCTAAAAATGGATAGTGTGTTTAGCTCTAATTAGCAAAGAAAACAATCCAACACAAAAAAGCTTTCAGTTAGCAAAACATGCTAACAGCATGAACACTTCATTTATATTTGATAAACAGAGGAATAAAATGCTCGCTTTTCGTATCGAGTGATAATCAATGTGTACCTCTTTAAACTTTAAATACAGCCGAAACATGTCTCTGACTGGTATTTTTATATTGCTATTCAGTTCTGACAACAACAATTTTGTCCACATGTGTTTCTGTACTATTTCCGGTCTAATTTAACCTATAAAACTACAGAAACCGATGTCTGAAGGCTGATTGGCTGCAGGAATAATAAACTGTTCTTATTGGCCAAAATAGGCACGTGATATAAGGTAAAAAGTTGTGCTGCGTTGAGGTGTTTTCAGAAAAAAATACGTTAGTTTGAAAAACAGTTTTGTTCACTGTAAAACATACAGCTAAGCTAACATTATTTATAACCGCTTGTGATTTAAAAAATTAAATTGATCTTAGATTAAAAACGAGGTGGCTATCTCTCAAAACAGTGAGAGATATGTCTTTTTAAATTGTCATTTTTACACTTTAATTAAATAGATGCAATTGCTATTTTTCGTGCTATTTATTAATATTTACAGTTTTCTCAATAATTGATAGGAAAATATTAATTACTTTTTATGTATTTCCCAATAGAGCAAGCAATGGCTTTCTTGTCATCGCCCACATTTTTGGCTTCTTAAAACAGATTGTTTTTATATGAATAATTATGAGTGACTGTGTGTAACATCAAGGTGTGTAATGGATGTGGTTTTATTTATCTTTTCAAAAATAGCGACACATATGGAACAGTTGAAATAGGTATTATGTTTTATAAATCAATCAATTGTGCATGAATCTAAGTCTCACGTATGGGATATTTTGATGATTTTTAAATATCAGATTGAATACTGCTTTGAACACACTTTCACAGGGGACCTAAACGCATCACATGGCAAAATACTGTAAATAGGATTCTTATCCGCGTTCGGTAGCGGTCCAGCTAACTTTGAAGCTAACGATGCCTGGGAAATGTAAATTCCAGGATTCCTGGCTGACCAAGGACGCTTTCAAGGACTGGCTGGTGAAAGACGCCGATGACATCCATTTCGCTCGGTGCCGGGCCTGCTGTAAATCAATCAAACTTCAGACCATGGGCGAGGCTGCTCTCACCAGCCACGCAGGCGGAGCCGGCCACAAAGCTGCGGTCCGAAAGCTGCTGGAAGGTTAGCACGCCTCCCTCCCTCTTTCTGTGTTTGTGACAGGAAAATGATAACAGCATATGCTGAAGGGGACGCGTTGCGTTTGTGTGTCTGGCCGTCAGTCAGAACCAGACTCTGCAGCGTCCAGTGGGGACGATGCCTCAGGACCTTTCTGTTGTTTTTGATCACGTGGAATAACTCATCGCATAAACAAAGTCTGCGTGGAAAGCTGCGGCTTGCCTCTTTTACAACTCCTATTGATTCCTGTTAAAACAGTTTTAGAATACAAATTTTATCAAAGCTAGAGTATTTATGTATTTAATACTCCTGTTACCCTCCCTTGTTACACTTTATTTGTGAATAAGAGTGTCATCACATCGCCATAAACATGTAATAACATCTGTCATGACCATGACAGTCTCCATCAATATTTATGACTTACGTCATAAAGTGTCATTCTGTGAATCATGACACTTTTAATACAAAGTTGACAAAGTGTCTTCGTTATGACAACTTGTTATTAACCAAGACATAAATTTGTTACTGGTTATGACTGATTAAACTTTAGCTTTAATAACATGAAGCTACATAATTTTTAAAGTTTAATCAGTCATACTTTTATAACAAATTTATGTCAGATAATAATTTCTTGATTGATGACAAGTTGTCATAAAGACATTTTAAATCATGTCAACTTTATATTAAAAGTGTCATGATATTAATGATAGTTTGTGAAAAATATTTCTTAGTATCAGATGTTTTTTTTTCCAGAAAGTTGCAGTTTTGTGTTGCAGTAAACAATTGAGTTGTTTACTGCAACCATTGTTTAAACCCAAGTATAATATAATGCCTGCGTCCACCAGATGGAGGCGCTCTTTGCAAACTGTTCTGAGATACATTTTCCTTCAGACCTTCCCCATCTGTCTCTGTCCTTTTTGTCTATTATTGCAGGTGGTTTAATAGGCGACTCAAGACAGATGAACGGCAACACAAATCTGGTAAACATTTAAAAAATTTTTTTTCTGGTTTAAATTTATTTAAGCGACAATAAATTCTAAGTTGCTCATAAATCATAGCCATTGGATTCATAAGAGGGAATTGTATGGCCCGCTGCTCTATTAGGTAGAGAAGAGCAAGGAGCAAATGGCCCTTGCCCTCCAGCGTGAAGCTTTGGACAGAATCACAGGCAGCGACTGGTCAGACCTGCATCAGAGTCCCTCTACAAACTCCAGCTCCCACAATGCAGAGCTGCAGGATGCGGCTTTTCCTGTTGCGTACTTCACCGTCCCAGGTACTGGCAGATTAAGACCTACAATAAAGATAAAATATTTGAACCTTGCTATTGACATATTTTGTTTTTATCTCGCTAGCCAATCAGTCATCAACCTGATTAGACATTTTTATTTTATGTCAGAAATAATGATAATAAAAAAGAACATAACCTACATTTGAATTTATTAATTGGATAGATTTCAGAATGAAAGAAAGCTGACTTTCACCAAAACGAATGCGCTGAAGCTCTGCATGATATACAGGTCTATTAAATCAGATTTTGTTAAAGAATCTCTACAAAGGTTACTATTTCAGCTTAAATCTAGTCTATCTTAGCAACTTAATCTTTAAAGTAGAGATAATCAAGTGCAATTCTTCAAGAAGTCCCTTTAAATACCCCTTTAGCTTTGCATTTGAAGATCTGAATCACATCGTACCTTTCTAGTGCTGCCTGGCATCGGTTGCCACCCTGAACAGTGAGCCTCTAGTTATTATAAACCTGAGCTTCCTTTGTCGCCTCCATCCTCACAGGAACCTCGAGAACCATCAACCATCAGCTCCATCCGTCCGACATCAAGGAGGAGGAGGTCAGCCGCCGCCTGACCCCTCATGACTCTGTGGACTTTTCGAGACTGGAGCTCCAGCAGCGGACAGAGGCTTTGGAGCAGCTGGATCATATGAAGATCCTGGAGTGGGAAAACCGGATGAAGGTGCTTGCCTGGGAACAGGAGCTGGTCAGGGAGAAAAGGAAAGCAGCTCGACAGAAGGAGAAGGCCTTCAGGATGAAAAAGGCCTATTACAAGGCCAAACTAAAGAGGCTGGGTGAAGACGTGCCCCCGTCCTCCTCCAGCAGTGGTGAAGAAGACGAAAAAATATCTGAGCTTAACGGTTGAGCTTAACGCTTGTTTCATTCTCGTGGTGTTTGCCTATAATCTTTGGGATTATTTTTGATAGATTTCTATACTGAAGGTCCTAGTGTGGGTTAGTGAAAATAGACATTGATTGGATATTCACAATACGGAACACAAAAATACAAACTTTGGGTTCCTCTGTGGTCTGGAAAAATCTGGAATTTGATTCAATTTGTTTTCCAAGAATGGAAACGACTGAAAAAAATCTAAATATTTGTCTTTCCTTCCCTCCCTCACGTTCTACCTTCCTTCATTCATCCTTCCTTCTGTCCTTGTGTCCTACCTCCTTCCTCTCTTCCTTGCATCCTTCATTCGGTTGTTTTTTATTTGTTTCAACATCTCTTGTAAAAAAAAATCTGCCATACAGTCTTGGCGAATGTTAACATTTTATATTTTAAAGTGGAAGTGAAGGCTGAGTCTGGAAGTTTTACACGAATAACTTGTTGCAACCATGATGACATATGTACTGTGACATATGGCGGTGAATGGGTGAATGATAGTAGTGTGGAGTGTTTTGGAGTTCTCTGGATGAAGCTCTACACTAGTACAGGCCATTTAACATGTGCAGGAATGCACAGGTTTGTGCGTGATGGCAGCTGGTTGTGTGGCAGCTTTCCTTAAAAAAAAAAACAACACAACTCTTATTTGGAACGAAGCAGTTCTAGAGTGAATGTGGTACTGATGTTTAAACACAAAAAGGCACAATAATGTTGTGAAGTGGAAGAAAATATATATTTGATTACTGTGTAAGATGCACATTAACCACAACAGAAATGCTGTATCTGTATTTTTATTTTTTTTACATAATGGCATTGTGTTTTTTTTTTGTTGTTGCTGTTGTTGCATTATGTTCTTTTAAAGTAATGTGTTTTTTTAAAGTTGCTTCAACTGATGTCTGAATTCATTGGTCGTCTCTAAATGCACAATTTGTAACACTCTTATTGAGCATGGTATTAGATTTTGCTGTTAAAATCAATGTATCGGTTCAAAAAATGTAATTTTCATAAACAAAGGAATGAATAGTAAATTTTCCTTCTGAGATTTGACCATTTTTTGTGGGTCTGTTGCATCATTCTGATGTTTCCAAACTGACTTTAGTTAGTTTAGTTTAGTGAAAACGAAATCACTGAAATTCTGCGCTAGTATTTGCTGTTCCCACTTCAGTCGTTTTACTGACTTTAGGTCAAGAACCTGATAATGAAAGGAGTTATTTGCAGACATGAAAAGCAGCTGAATCCATTTGCACTTTGCAATTATGCACCACTTTTAGTGTGTCTGCTGCAAAAAAGTGGAACCGAATGTCAAAAAGTTCAAGTGATGTGAAAAATTTAGCAAAGAGCTGCATTACAAGTTTGCGTCACATGTTAATCTACTTTTTATCTGGGAAACGATGATATTGTGACAGAGCTGACTGTATTAAGTTGGCATCTGAGCACTTTGAGAACCAAAACAAGTCGGCAAGAAGCCTTCACAAGAACACGAAGACGACAAAAACAGACTGTCAGTGTGTGTCCTCTCCTCGCTGCCTCACTCCCTAAAATGTCCTCATGAATATGAAACAGTTACACAATGTAAACACACACACAGTCTGGTAGGAATAAGTCTTTTTTTTTTTAATGTCCAACATTTTTCTTGTTTTTCTGCGAAAACAGGGGAACAGCTGTTTCTGTCCTGACGGCGGGACAGAAGGCATTTCATAATGAACACACAAGCCAACAAATACAATCTCTCATCATTCTGCCACCTTTCCCCTGCATTTCTCCCCCTCCCCCTTGCTTTCCTTTTCAGTCTCAAGAACAGATGACAACATTTTAGACTCAAATCTGCACCTCTCTGGCCCTGGTTGTTTGCCTTCTGTTGGCTTGAAACAAATTATCTGGGAGTGGTGGTTTATTTTTTTCTGGTTCTCTCCCCTTTACTGGTAAGTCGACAGAGTGTCTAAGCAGATAAATGATCAGTTTTGTGCAGGTTTGCAATGAGAAGTCGCTGCGATAGTAAATCACACATTCATCATACCCAAGTGAGCCATTTAAACAAGGTAAATATAACTGACTGCAGTCTGTTGGTTTTGGCAGGTTCTTGCAGGTCCTGTACTTGTGCCTGGCGTTAGATTTTATTTTTGCTGTTTACATATAAACATTTTAACACATTTGCCCATTGTTCATCAAACTGGGAACTTGTGGCCTTGAGAAACATAATCAACATCAGAATTAACAATAAATAAAAGTCACATGTGTAAGAAAAAAAGGAAACATTTGGATTTAGAAAGAAACACATTCATGATTAAAAATAAATACAATATAAAAGAAATAATCGTAAAACAACTCTTTCATAAAATGACAATGAAGTATCGCTGAATAAAATAGATCTCAGGAAAAAGGTGAAAAGGAAAAAAAACATTTTTTTTAGGTGGACTGCTTCTTTAACTAGCTGACAGGTGGCATTCCCCCAGCAGGAACATTTTTGGCAGTAATCCTGTCAGGAACAGATTTGGTGTCACGTTCTGAGGAGAAGGGGCTGACAGAGATACAGTCAGGGCGGGAAGATGCGCGTTTGCTTGTGAGGCGCGTCTTTATCTCCACTGTCTGCATTTCCCTCCTCTTTTCTGAATTCCTGACTATGTCTGTCTGCGTGACGAGCGGCGTCCATGCCTTCCTCCCTGCAGCTACGCGTTTTACAACACAGCCATGATTTCAGTCCCAGTTTATCCTCCTACTGATGATGTCCAGCTGTGCAACATCTGATGTTTTTGTTGGATTTTAGCCCGCTTGTATTTTGGGTCCATTCTTTGTTGAACTAAGATGTTGCTCATTCAGACAAACTTTGCCCAAATTGCTTTTTTTTTGTTTTGTTTTAACAAACACCTGTTTTTCATTCATACATCTGAAGATGTGTTTTTTCTCTTCCAGGGTTCAAGATTGAGAGAACATTGGCAGTGACCATTTCACCTGATGCCCATAATCCTCTTATCATCATTTAGTGTGAATTAGATAAGCTGGTTCTGCAGGCCAAAGCTAACTTATACCAACTTATTCCTGCTTTTTTGTCATAAAGAATGGAGGCAGTGTTGCTAGTGATCTTCCTATAAGAAGCCTGAGCGCTACATCTAAAGTGTGTCAGATCAGATTAGCACTGGTTTAACTTTTATTTCTCCAGCAGGCTGAAAGCATTTTCATGTTTCACACAGGGAGATTAATGGTGGCGCACCACCTCCAATTCATTTCCTGTCCTTCAGTCATTGGGTCCTTCATAAATATCCACCCACAAATGGCAGCAGTTGAGCGAGTCAACATTTAAGAGCAACTGTTAACTTGAGCCATTAGCACCAACTCATGTGAATTAGTACTAAAAGAAGAAACTGAGATTGATGCAACACGACGCGACTTTTCAAAAAGAACCTCACTTAAGAATCCTGAACCTTTAAATCATGAACTCGTTGCTTTTGCAAACATCAGTGTGAAAGAATCAGCAGCTGATTCAATACCTACATCTGAAAATAAAAAGAAGATAGCTTTTAACGCCGACACTGCTGACACCTCTTCTTTCCTTTACTTCGCCAACTCACAGCAGCAGAAACATCGACTGACCTCAAATAATACCTCCTCTCCATTAATCCTCCAAATGGAAGGAAAAGACAATCTGTCTGACAGAGAAGGAAACACTTTATCTGAGCTCGCAGTGAACCTTTTGGAGCCTGATTAAATTTGAAAATAAGTGCTTCCTGTATGGAATATTTCCTTTAGGGAGCGTCTGGGAGTGAAAAGATTTGAAAGACGTGAGCTGACATATTCAGGTAGACACCAGCTCGCGTGCAAGCATCACGCTTGCTTTCATGTCTTCAATAAATATTTGAGCATGTCAGGATTCAGCAGCATTGTTCTCGTTTTTTTTTTCCTTTTGTTTCTTCCGTTGTTCAGAATCAAAATCGCTTTGCACAGTGACATAAAACGCCAAACAGCTGTTTATATCCTAGTGAAGAACTAAGGCCTCAGTAACAAAAATGTTTTCATTTTGGTTCATATTTGTGTAAAAAAAAAAAAAAAATCATAGCTTTATCAAAAGCGGTTTACTTCTACATGGTGCTTTCACACCATGTAGAAATCATTTTCTAAACGAAGAGCAACAGAAAGTTTCACACTGGTTTATGTCCCTTTGGCTTTAGATTTGGGCGAGAGGCTTCTGCATGAGAAGCTTTAAGAAATGAGTTTCCTGGTTGCTGCCGGAGAGACTCGGCTGCTCCTGTGCCGCCCCTTGGGCCAGGTTGAGTCATGATGCATCAAAGTGTAAAAGGATACCTTGAGGGCTTCTTAAAAGTGGTTGTTACTCGATCCTGCCTCATGGAGACAGGCAGACGGCGAGATCAACTTTCACCCACCAGGTTTTTAAAACTGCGCTGATAGGCTCCCGTTACGTCAGTGGAGTGATGCGGTCGGAGAGCACCGGGTCGTGATTATATGTGCCAGCTCGTATAAAAAATTTAAATAAAATCAAAAAACATGAGCCCAGTCTCCCTATAGCAGTGGAGACGTGTCACTGAGTTTTAGTAGTTAGGCAGCCATCCTTGAATCTAATGTGTTGTTAGCAATCTTTCTTTGCACAATCATCTTGCTCCATCATCTCTCCTCTCCTATAATAATTTCTTTCTCTGTTTACAATCACGTTTCGATACTTTGATATTACCCTTTCAACCGAGTCCTTCCGTAATCTCGCCGCTCTGTTGCCGGAGCCCTGAACGTCAAAGGTTTGAGGACAACATTCTGAGGGAAAAGTATTTCTGGGGAGACACTTTAGTTTTTTTTTTTTTTCTTTTTTACCTTGTAGAGGAAATTTCTTCCGTCAGCAACACACAAGACAACACTCGCTTCGCCCTCTTTCACAACCTCACGCACGGACACGACTGCATAAAAAAAAAAGAAAAACTTCACAAGATATTTTTTCACCTTCAATGAAAAAGATAAAAAATGTATAAAAAGGCTATTTACAGACCCTTTTCTTCTTCTGTTTTGACAGGTCTTATTGGGCTTGGGCCGTGTGTGTGTGTGTGTGTGTAACATCTGAGAAGATTTTTTTTTGTCTGCTTGTAATTTTCTTTTTTGTCTAACTGTTCTTAGGTAGGAGAATTAGATGGTTTATTCAGCGTACGTGGAACGATAGATTGTGAGCAGTTGGACTTGAAAACTCGATACACACAAAACGACCCGCTCACAAACTTCTTCTTTTGTCACAGACTCTCTATTGTCTGTAAATTTTCCTTTTGCCTTTTCATCTTTTCTGTCTCCTCTGAGTCAATTCTGTTTCTTCTTCACAGGTTGTCCATTTAGTTCAGGCCCATCCGCGACCTTTGAACTTTGTTCCCGCACTGTTGCAATGCATTAATGGGGGTGGAGGCTGTCATCAAGACTGTCCCTCGCTCCTGTGCGCTCTGAGGTGAAGGGGAAAGAAAAGAAACATCAGAAAGTTCATACGCCAATGCTCCCAATTTCACTTTACTAAAACACTAAATTACATATTTTTTTAGGTTTAAGGAAGGTGGTGTGTGGAGCATTTTCTATAGCAGTGAGAACAATTACAGTTTGAAGAAGCAAGAATTTAGTGTCAAGCTAAAAGCTACTAAGATTCAAGCTAAAAATGTCTTGGAGTCAAGCTAACAGCTAATTAGAGTCAAACTAAGAGCCTCTAAGACTGAAATGATTATGTAGATGATTTCACCCCTGTAGTTCATTTACTTTGCTTCAATTCAGTTGGTAAGTTTGTTCATTTGTAACTTTTTCTGATGAAGACTTGCCAACATTGTTTATTAATCTCTTTACTCTGCAGCTTGATCCCACAAGGCAATGCAAACTTGACTACAGAAAGGTGATTGGCTCAAGCTTGCAGTGTCCACCTGGCAGCTGTGTTGGTTTGGAAATGGTACTGAGGCTAGTGATCTTGCTATATTATGTTTTGGTCCACATCCTAGAATGATTGCTGTGGTCACACTGACACAAACCAAGGGGTAAGACAAACCAAAGTTTGTTTTAAAAGGACTAAATAACACAGGTGTGAA